ATGTAATGTAATATAAAATTTAATGAACAATAATTTTAGTAAATTTAAATATAATTGAAAACAAGATCGAAATCAAGATTTTATTATAAAAAATTCTTTGCTATTAAAAAGTTTCGTAGATTTGCTTTAAAACTTTTTCAGTTTACTGAACAACTTTTTTCATATTATGTAAAGGACAAAACTATCTATCCTTTTAATATTTACAATATAAACACATATGTTATTAATAATGTGTATATCAGTAACTGCGATTTTAAATAATTAATTGTAATTTAATTTGTCCACTTCATGCAAAGATTTTTCAACAATAAAATCGTAATTCAAATCGGTTTGAAAAATATTTATATGGATACTAACAATCAATTGGAGACATTGATTCACTACAACTTATAATTAACTTATCATTACTTTATATGACATAACAAATAAATGCAATGAAAAAGAATTATATTTAATATTTGGAATCCATGTTAATATCACAGCATTTGATTAACTAATAAAAGAAGTATTGGTCCGATCACTGGATCACTGGTTCAATGGTTTCAGTAGTTTTACAGCTCTCTTAACATTATTTGTTTCTCTTTTAATGTTGCGTCCAATTCATCAGTTTTGTGAACAAACTGTTGGGAAAAACAAGAATTAATGTTTCATGAATTAATGTAAACTTCAAAATTGNTGTGATTAATAATTAATAACAATAGAATAGTTAATTAAATGTAAATGACTGCACATTTTCTTGATCCTTAGAGTGAATGTAAAGCAAATAATTGATTTTGCATTAAATATTCATTTTCTTGATATTAAAGTGACATTAATTAGAATTTTCGATTCAAAGCATACGATTGGAGCACATCTCAAAAGTAATCACATTTTCATACATTAAATAAAAGTCACCAAAACTTGCATTCATTTATTGAAATTTTCAAAATTACTTACAATTGAACTCAAATTATTTAAGCATAAATAAAATTACGAAACATTTCAATTAATAAATGTTTGTCTCGGATTAATAGTATATTTGCATAAATAAATGGCATAACTGATTATACTGTAAATATTGTTTTTAAAAACCTATTAGATTAACTAATAATTTAATTAATTTTGTTGTTTTTGTAATAATTTTATTTAATAATAATAACAATCAAATTAACAAATAATTTATTAGTAGTTATTTACTTAAATAAATATAATTTAGATTTTTATTATTTAGTTCACCAAACAGGTTGGCATAACACTTGTATGGAGTAAATAATCATAAAATAATTTTATGCAAATCATTAGAAACTAAAATACTTTATATTAATATTAATTTATACAAACAAATACATTTCAATAGATATGTGTATGAAATTATGACTATTTTGTAGTGAAAATGTAATGTAATATAAAATTTAATGAACAATAATTTTAGTAAATTTAAATATAATTGAAAACAAGATCGAAATCAAGATTTTATTATAAAAAATTCTTTGCTATTAAAAAGTTTCGTAGATTTGCTTGAAAACTTTTTCAGTTTACTGAACAACTTGTTTCATATTATTTAAAGGACAAAACTATCTATCCTTTTAATATTTACAATATAAACACATTGTTATTAATAATGTGTATACCAGTAACTAATTGTAATTTAATTTTTCCACTTCATGCAAAGATTTTTCAACAATAAAATCGTAATTCAAATCGGTTTGAAAAATATTTATATGGATACTAACAATCAATTGGAGACATTGATTCACTACAACTTAGAATTAACTTATCATTACTTTATATGACATAACAAATAAATGCAATGAAAAACAATTATATTTAATATTTGGAATCCATGTTAATATCACAGCATTTGATTAACTAATAAAAGAAGTATTGGTCCGATCACTGGATCACTGGATCACTGGTTCAATGGTTTCATTGGTTTTACAGCTCTCTTAACATTATTTGTTTCTCTTTTAATGTTGCGTCCAATTCATCAGTTTTGTGAACAAACTGTTGGGAAAAACAAGAATTAATGTTTCATGAATTAATGTAAACTTCAAAATTGAAGATTAATATTTTATATTACATTTATAAAATTATATTTTCAAACAGTGTTTACAAAAATATACATTATATTATTCACAACATATTTAAATAGAATTTATAATAAGCTTAAAATTATTTCCTTTATTTATTGTTAGTATTAAATTGATTTTTCCTTATAAACAGGAAAGGGAGGAAAGGGAGAGTAAATAAGAAAAGCGTGAATTAGTGATAAATATGAAAAATTATTATAATTTACATTTTATTGCTCAATATATGCATAAGCTATAAAATTAGTGAATGATTATTAAATATGGAAAATGATTGAAAAAATAAATTGGTGGCATAAGTAGCCAAAAGGTGTTAGTATTACCGTAAGCGGAATGTCTTGTGTCTCAAACGTGAGTGTCTTGGGTTTCAGTTTGGGTGTAAAAATGTAAGAGAAAGACAGAGTTGTGATAAAAGCAGTTATTCAACACACCATTCATTCATTCATTAATAATTTCCATGTCTTTATTGAAAACACAAAACACTACACTATACACTAAACAATAAATTATTAATTTTCTTATTTTAGTAAATATTAAATTATATAAAAGTATTTTTGGTCTCTAGTCTGACTGCTTGAATGCAAACAATTGATTATTTATTGCATGAATACAAGTGTAGGACAACAACGAAAAAGCAAATCAAATGATTTAGTAATACATGTGTGAATATTAAAATACATACTGAAACGGTAGTTTGGGCGTATGATAGTCTGGTGTCTTGAGCTAATCCATGACTCAGTAATGTTTGGTTCCACTTCTTCTTGAGATTCGCCAATACCTTAATGTATGGTTGAGTCAAATAATCTCACGATAATTAAATGCAATCAAACGAATGGAAAATAAATAAAAACTTTTTCGTTCAACAAATTAAGCGTTAGAAAGCATTTGCAATAACTATGATATAATAATAATATATATTTATGAAAGTTATGTTTGAAAATAGGCGTTCAGGTCGCAAATTAAGCCATGCATTTGACTAAGCTATGATTTTCAATGCAAATTATATTTGAATAATGGTTTACAATAATAACAAATACTTTCAATTGAAATATGATATGAAGAATATTCTGTTGTGAACATAAATAAGGCTAATGTAAGCAATACTCTGTTATTATTAGGAGAATATATGAGCGAAAATGCTATACAAAGGAATGAAGTATTGCATAGTTATTATGATTATTATCTCAAATAAAGATGAGTTTTCAATAAAGTTTTTGCCAACTTATGAAGTGATGGCCCAAAGTCAAGATTATAGCTCTTCTCATGTCATGTTTCATAAAATTCTGCACTTTTAAGATAGTAATGACAGAGCAATAAGTTATAGTTTTGGCAATAAATATGAATCTTAAAGGCTAAGTAATACAATGCATTAGAATTGTATTAAATTGACAAAAATATTTTACTCAAAATATGTTTCTAGATTATAATATATGTATATTTTTATGCATCTAACCAATCAATTTTTCTGTAAATATATATTTTGCAAAATTCATAATTTTAGGATTAGTTTTTTGAATAATTACAAATAAACATGATACTACTTTTAAAATTATTAGAGAAATTAATGATTTATATTAATGTTAATTTGTATCAAATTTTATGTTTAATAAGAGCCTCATTTCATTTGAAAGCAATTCTTGTTATAATTGATTATTAATGAGAGAAAGTATTCCTGGGATATAAATACTGAATATTTGATATAAATTGTTTTTTCTGACACGATTTATATCATTTACAAAATGAACTAAAGGTCTCACAAATACTACTTTCGATAAGAACTAAATAATTAAATGATAATCTAATCAAACATTAAAGTAATAAAGTATTCAATTATAATAAACAATTATTTTCTAATTCTACAAATAATAATAATAATGAATTGAAGCCAAAAAAATCACACAAATATACAAGAACAAATGAAAGCAAATTACCGTACTACGAAATTCATGCCGTAATTAAACCAAAAGCAATTCAGGACTCAATGGGTATTTAAGAGGTATTTAGCGGTCTGTTTAGTACAATTAAAAGCATTGGTCATCACTACTGACGCTATTATTAGTAGTAATACCTAATGGTTAATGTGTTAATACTAGACAATTGTGGACTGTAAGGAACGCGAACGACATTTTGCCGGGTTTTTTGATCTCATAAGCATCTGTTGACTGATAAAAGTTTTGATTGCAGTGATTACCTCTCCATTGAAGAAACAAAACAGTAGAGCAACACTTAAACCCTACACACAAACAACAAATATGACCATGGTTATGTAATCATCGAGTAACTCTTTTCATAAGTATTTGCAATTAGATTGAACCTGAAGTGATGTCACGATTGCCGAAACTATTTCGTACACTTTTTCGGCTGTAGTCCTCGTCTCGGGTCTGAATGGGGTTAACATAAACTGCAGACCCAATAATGGGATTAGGATTAGTGTCGCCCGAACCGCTTTCCTGAAAAATTAATTATATATATATATAACAATTTATTATACAATTATATTGTACAATTATAACAAATTTAAATATGTAATTAAAAGTAATTCATTAATATAGTAGTATACTGGTATGTATATAAATTTATATATATATTAAAAATCTTTACTCTAGCAACAGTAGGTAAAAATACTTTATTTAATAGTCCAGTATATCATGAACAATACATTGTAGTAACTTATATTTCAAATATATTAGTAACAAAAATCTTTATTTCATTTTAATTACCATCTATTGTCATATTATAAAGGAAATACTTATAATAAGACATTATAGTCAGTCTCTTTCAATAAATGGCATTTGTGTTGAACTCTGTTTTTAAAAGAAATATTATATTTCTTATCATTAAATTTAATGTCTCTTATATATGAAGCAGAGAACAGGCTATAGGAGAGCCCTGAGCATCAAATGATACCATAAATAAATAACAATTCTTATGGGTTTCAAAGGCTCTCTTCGATTATAAAGAATATATTATTTCCAATTCATTACTATTTTTAGAACTACTTTAACGATAACTTGTATAGAGTTATGAGTAATTCGGAAGAGTATCGCATATTCTTCAGGTCTTCAGGTGCACTACATTTCACTTTTTTGCCATTAATTTCATTCAATCAAAATATTCTTCAAATTCTATACACTATAGTCACTATACCCATACATGTCTTATAAGCCCCGACTCTACACATATCTCATATGCCCTCACATTTCGTGTAGAGTTCATAAATTTTTTTTATTAAATTACAAGAATTTATGTGAAGACTAACAATAAGGAAATAATTGCCAAATTTCGTTTTGCCGCAGTTTTCGTCTTATCAAACATTAGTTTTCAGATATGTTTCATTCGGAAAGCCATTTATTTTGAGAAAGAATTCAAAACAAAATTCTTGTGTCTATTTCGAGCATTTCATACTTTGATCTATATTTCGATTTCTTATATTTTACACAATTTTCTTATCCAAAGATTTCATATAAAATTAAATCGAATGAATAAAATTGGACCCAATTTTCAAAAAGAAAAAGTAATCTTAGAATCAAATGTTTACCAGTTTTTTACTGAACATTAAATTATATCTATATTTCCATTGAATATACTTTTTATATGACTTCGAGTTCACTATTTTTATATGATTTCCAAATTATTTACAATTGAGCAAGTTTTAAAATGTTTCAAATAATATGATAAGTTTTCAATAAAGCTAATCAACGAATAAAATGAATGAATACCTGGTCTGATGTGTATCCGATGTGTTAACTGCTCTCAACTTTGTCACCAAAACTCTTACGATATTTATTAAGAAGAATAGATTGAGCTGTGGATCAAAAGATAATAATTATTAGAAATAAAGTAGATATATTGAAAAGTATAGCAAATTCAGTGATCATAACTGATTTTAGATTAAGAAGTAAAAGTGATGATTAATGAATTTGTAATATGAATGTCATATTAAAATGCTTACCAATAAAGACATGCAGACCGGACCCGTTAACAGCAAGTTATAGGTTCCCTCTTCTATCCAACAACTGTTGCCAAACAATGAATACAATTATTTTTGTTGAATAACTGATTACACGATAAAACACTTACTAATGTGTATCCTTTGGATCATGAGATCTGCTTCTAAGAGTGGCGTAAATAGCAGTCATACATATAGGAACAGCCCATCCCAGCAAATAAAACCATTTAAGGATTTTATTTTCCGATACAAAGGCGACGACGAGTAATGTGTGGAGATATAGTCCTTCGCAAAACATCCAGAAGTAGTTGCAAACCATGAAGTAATGAACGGCCACATGGATTACTTGACACCAAATCTGATCATTTCAATGCATTACACGAATATTAATTGCAATCATTAGGGAGAAAGTCTAAGCTTTCAATACTCACCGGATTTTCTTTTAAAACGTTAGGTTCGGACACAATAGATAAGTACCAAATAATCCTTAATATGAGAATTTGAACATTATTTCATTAATTCATTAGCAGATATTGCCTGGTAATTTATGTTTTATATCTTAAATGGTATATAAGTTTAGGTCACAACGGAGTCGTTTGCAAACCTATAATCTCAAAAGCACTTGATTTTAATGATGACAGTTATGACTTACAAAAGTCATGGCATAATGATATGCAAATGGTTTGCAAACAAATGTTATATAGAAATTGTAATGAATTGATTACCACATGAGGTTATTAATGATGAAACTCAGGAAAAAGTTTTTGTGAATTCTTATGCGTGTTTGCGATGAAAGAGACCTTTAATTGATAATAAAAGTGATTTATAGTTATTTGTTTTGAAAATGTATAGTATTTGAAAAATATTACTTGAATGAGAAGAATATGGCCAAAGATATCAAGAGTGCCACCAATGATATCGAGTAACCAGTTATATAAATATTATTTACAGACTGACGGAACTATATAATAATATTAGTTTAATTGAAATAAGTTTGTGATAAAATTATTTTAGTAAATATACCTGTAGATCATCCCAATCAATACAATCAGTATAATTAGACCATGTTTTGTTAGTTTTAGAATGTCGAAACCAATCACCAGTTTCTAAGCATGTTTTACGCGCTTTTCCTGTATTCATGTGTATTTAATTAGTAATAAAATTATTTAACTATTAATTAAAATTATTTATATAATAAAACTATTTGTATAATGTTTAAATCATCTTAAACACAATTACTTAATGTCAATAAAATAGGTTAGACCTAAAATTCTGTAACAAATAAACACTTACTTAAAGGCTCAAAACCAGTAATAAATTCTGGACATGAAATGTATGCCACCTGACCGGCCAGTGTGTCATTAAAACAGCCCCAGCCATCAAATGTTCTTGGGCAATACAGTAAATCCTTAGCTACAAATAATGTGGTAGTATTTAATAAATAAATATTTAACTTAGGTTTTGATATGAAAGCAAAAGTCACATTTGATTTCGTTAAATGATCTCAATTTGTCGACAAACACTTTAATAAATAATACGGAATTCATGGTAAGATTTAATAAATTCTTGGCAAATAAAAATTTTAAGATTTATTTTATTAAACAAGTCACATTTGGCATTGCGTTCAAAGTATAACTCCACGTATATTCAAAAAAATTATTCTTTAATATTTAACAGAATTTTGTTATGGATTTGAAAGTATTACTGGAAATTTGAGTATTTCTTAGAAAATGAAAACCCTTGGTTAAATTGAATTTATTTTGAAATACATCAAATAAATTACTAAAAAAATTATAAATGTACTTTAAAATATTTTTAAAACTAAAAAATACTAATTAAATTAAAAATAAATTGTCTTAAAGAATAATTTTAGATTATAAATTATATTATCTATAATATTTTATTTATATTTTCCTATATTATATCTAAACAATACAGTCAAAATAGTAAGCTACAAGCTAACCTATTCAATCTTGATCCTCTAGTATTAGTAATTAATTTTTAATTTAAATTTAATTCAATTGAAATAATTGAGTCATATAAATTATTATTAAATGTTTACAAAACAAGTTATTAAAATTATCAAACGATAAGAGAGGTTTAAACAATTTTTTATCATTTATATTTAAAAATTATATTAAAAATATTACAACAACAGCTTATCTAAAATTTGAGAATTGGTTTCATGTAATTAAGATTTATTGTGAATTTAATGAAATAAAATTTCGAAAAATGAGTGTTATTTGAGAAGTTAAACTATATTTTGGGATAATTTATCAAATTATAAGGATTATAAAAATAAATCGATTCTAAAGTCATTTAATAAACTTAAACTAAAAAAGCCAAACTCTAAAATAATATTAAGAGTATTGAAATTTGAGTTAATAATACCGTACAGTACTAACAGTAAAGCAAAGTAAGTAATTCAGAATTTAATCTTAAAATGAAATAAAAACTATTAATTGTCTTATAAAAGAAAGTGAAATTAATTAATGATAAGTAAAAAAGTAAATGCTTTTCATATAAAACTTCTTTGAATATATGTAGTGAAATGCCTTTTCCTTTAATTAAAGTAATTAATGTTTGTGAAATAATTTCTCATTAATTGTCAAAACAATAATTAATATAAAACTAGAAAAACTTTTTATAAAAACATGAATTCGTGGAGTTAGACAAGTATTCAATGTTTAGTAATTATTTAGTTTAAATGAAAAATTTTTATATAAGAGAATAAATGAAAGAATTTTTATTAAAATATTTGTGAATTGTGATACTGTAATACTGATACCCTAATCCAGAATGTGATCATTGAACACATTTTCGTTAATTAAAATGATTTAAAATAGTAATAAAAATCTTGAGATTAAAAGCCATTAATTGAAAGAATAGAAAATAAATTGATTTTCTGGTGAATTGAAACCTTTTGTCAGTAATACCATAGCATTGAAGGGATTACAAGCAGAGCTTATTTATATGTTTTTTGATGAAATCAAAAGAGCTGTTCATTAAAGAAGTATTTGACTTAAGTGTTGATACAATAGGAAAGGCAATGAAATCATAAAAAAGATTCGTTAAACTAATTAAGACTTACTTTGGGTTTTCGGGCCAATGAGTACTCTATCGATACAGTCTTCAAAAGCATGAGCGGTATTGATATCACTGTACGGCGAGGGCTCCAGTTTAACCATCTCTTCAAATATTTCATTCAATTGGTTCTCATCTAAAGGCTATTAAAAAGGAGAAAGAGTACAGATTTACTAAATCACATTAAGCACTATCTCGAGCACAAGTGCTACATTAAATGCAACACAAGTTTATGTGAACAGCACTGTTAGCGCCGATGTCTTACATTTGGCTATAATTATCCAAATCATTATTATAGCAAATCTTAATCTACATTATTTACTGCAGTATTAATGCATCAAATCTAATGCTTTTGCCATAAATTGCATATGAAAATTGGTTACATTTCTAATGATTGATATGTGCTCTCACTATTGATTTGTCATATGTACCTGAACACTTTCACTGAACTGGCAGTCACTATAATTGCCTTCATCTTTGTCGCCATACAGTTCCCATTTGCCATCAGACAGACACCTCCGGCTCGCGTTAACTACATATTCAATACGAGTAAAATAAGCATTCAATTAATCATAAAAACACTATTTTTCATAAAAAAAATGTCAAAAAACCTTATTACATCTATTTTTGTATTACAACTAAAATCTATATTATCATATTTATCATTCCCCACATTGTTATATTGATTTTTTACAAATTGCTTTAAATGTCTATAACTTACATAAGCTGTTAGAACCGGGAATAAAATCTGGACAGGGTATAAACATTTGAGAATCGACCAAAGTTGCACTCCAACAACCAATGCCATCAAACATAGATGTACAATATGCACTGTCTATAATTTGATAAATTTATAATAAACCGATTATTAATTTCTAGATTCAAATGTTAGACAAATGAAGTAATACTAACTTTGATGCCATCCTTTAGGTGTATTAATAGCAGTTTGAGTGCAATTAAAAAAAGCTCTAAAATATTGCGATGGAGAGACACTTGATTTGGACTTCACTTCAGTGCACATTATTATAGCTCTTGTTATCTAAATGTCAAACAATTTAAATAAAAAAAATTGTTAGCCTTTTATTTAAGGAGAATAATTGCAAAAATATTCTCGGAAAACAAAAATAAAAATAAAAGGGGTTTGTATTACATTTAATCAATAAATCCTAGGCTTAGAAAATCTCATTTTAAACGTATATTTAATTTTGGAGTATTAATGTATAAATTGTTCAACATTAAAAAGCATGTTTAACTTGAATACATTATATAAATGCTTACAAATATTGTAAACATAAATTTAATTAAACGCAATTAATTTTAATCAAGATATATTTGCTAAGAGAAAGCAATTATTATTAATATAAGAATTAATTAAATAAGAGAAGAATTTAAGACAAAATATATATAATATATAAAATATAGACAATCTGATGATAACGTGCTGTGAATTATGATAAAATGACAGTGAAATTAGATTTAGGTCTCCGTTGTCATCAAAATAGTTTGTAAAACTTAATACACGATAAATAAGATTATGTTTTCAGCAATATTTGCTAGATTTCGGTTTCTAACAAAATGTCAATATTTTATAAGTTAGTCACAAATGCATGGAATTTCGAAATAAGCTAAAAATGTAAATAATTTTTAAAAGTAGTCTATAAATAGAATATTTTCAATTTATTTATAACTTTTAGGTTATAAATAATATTAAAAAATAAATATATTGAATCAAATTAAAATTTGACAATCTTGTAAATAAAATTGACTATATTTTCCTATAATTTCAAAGATATATTCAAAAATAACTTAGAATTGAAAAGGGTAATCTGAAAAGTAAGTCTATATTATAAAAAATTGAAAAGTAGTCGAATTTTTATATTCATTTAAAATGTTAGTTTTAAAATTTGTTATAATAGTGCATTAAATGATAAAATCAGTTTTAGTAAATATCAAAATAATAAAACTAAGAAAATTAGACATTAATTATTATAATATTTTGTTAATTATTTTAATGTAGAAATAAAATCAAACGAAACACAGTAGTTGAAATATAAATTACTAAATTACTTTTAATTGACCTTAATGTTATTAAAATACTATACTTTCATTAGAAATAAAACCTTTTTAAAGCTTAAAATAAAAATAATAAAAATGACAAAATCCTAAATATCTTGACAATATGAGAATAGGTATTTTATGAAATATTCCGGAATCTGATTAAATACTTGTAAATATAAGTAACTCTTATATCTAAATCACGGAAACTATAATTATAAAAATAAATATAGCTGTGAATAAACAGTAATCATAATTTTGGAATTACTTGCGAATAATTAATATAATGAGAATAATTAGCTGTAAATAGGAGTGCATTGAGAGCTAATATAATGGTAGGTATGATGAAAAGGAGTGATTATTATTTTGCACATTATTTGCATTCATTAGAATAACCGTTCAAATCAAGAATATAAGCGTAAACTTAACGGTTATGTCAACTCCACTACCATTAAGAGTGTTTAAGAGATAAGCCAATCAGTTATGCAATGAAAACATATTTTAATTCATAATCTAATGTGTGATTCATTATTCTAGTCGTTTGTCCATTAATTTAATGACAGAATAAATTCCGTCAAATATAATGACTTATTTATTGTTTTTAATAACTATTGTCTAAAATAAATTACTTTTAAAAATTTAACTTTTATTATTAATTTGACGCAAATTTTATATGAATGAATACATCATTTTTATGATGAAAATTTGTTTTGAATATTTTTGCAAAATTACGTTCAGCTCTCAAATGACAAGAATTTGTGCAAAACATAAGTAAAAACTATAATATGAGTGCAGAAATCGATCGAAAAGTGCGAAAATGTTGAAAGAAATTATTAGCCATCTCTTGGTATCTATTGATACAATCATTATTCGGTTATTGATTTTAAATTATTCTCAATTCTGATCGTTTTTGTGAACATTATGTGTAATACATTTGGATTTGATTTAAAGAAAATCTAATGTCTCTGAAGGGCTACTAATGTTCTGGCAATTCATGTTAACTTATATCATATAATCAAATATTACATTATTCATAGCGTTGTAAACGAATACTTACTATTAATAAGTTAATAAATGATGAAATTGATGGCATGAAAGCCCTTTTGACGGATTGGCACATTTTATGATTGATTGCAAATCCTAGAAATAATAGTCCGCTTTATAACAATCATAAGATTGCCCGGAATTTCACATATGATGGGAGTTGGAGCCGTTTGCACCGTTCGCTTTCACATCAAATCAATTACAATTGGACTTCATTTTTAAGACCAATTCACTTGAAATCACTTAATTCCGAGCGATTGGCTCCAGATGTCTATCACCGGAACTCTTGTCACAACACGAGTGCCAAACAAAAGTGATTATTGCACTATAGAAAGGATAAGAAGACAATACATTATCAGTTAAGACAACACAACACATAATACAAATGTTTTCTAAATGTTTTAAGTGTTTAATTACACAACAAATCAATTATAGCGATCGCATGGTTTGTGGCCTTCATTCATAATATTCACATGAATATCAATTCTGGAGGACTAACGTAATCGCTATTCATTGACGACATTTGAGTGAATTTTGTGCTCACAAATTCACAAATTCTTCAAAAGTGACAATAATTATGAAAAACACTTTTTTGAGACACTCTATGAATACGGTATAAGAAAGAGTGAAAGTGTTTGAGGAGTGAGTGCTTTGAGTGGAAGTGTTGGTCGAAGCGGTGCTGCGAACCGTCTGAACGGATAGAAGTGTGGCATTGGTTTTGATGTCATATATATTGTGAGATTATCCCATATTATGCACTCCAGAGGGCTGTTCCACATGAAAAGTCGTAAAAAATGCTGCCATTAAGCAGAATCGTAAACATAGGCTCTTATTAATGATGAGAATCACTGCGAGAAAATGCACTTTTTATTTTAGGCCTAACCGTCGACTCGATCGCAAAGATTCGCTCACTTTTTTAGTGACAATCACTCTAAGGCTGTAATCAATGCTTTCATTTGTTATTTAAACTTTCTTTTAAAAAAGTATTATTCACTTCTACTAAACATATAATTAGATTTCTAGACTTGAATTAATTTCATTACTTTTAATAAATCTTAAAATGGAGTTTCCAAACACTACTAGCGATTAAATATTTCCTAAAATTAGACTTTAATGAGAATTAATGTTAAGAAATAGTATAAAGACTTATTAGAAGAAGATATTGCTTTCAATTATTTAAAAAACTGGTTTTACTCTCAATTCGTTTACACATGAAAAATGAGGCGATTTTAAAAAATAGAGTTCGCGATTAAGATATTTTTTAAATGTTAATTTCAAGTAATTATAAACATGGTACGCTTGAAAGTCAAGGATAGTTATACCGACACATTCTGGTTGTTAGTTATTACTCTCAATTCTGTCAATGTTTGATATATGTATTGCAAACTCTTTAATGTATTAAGACATCAGTACTCGAAGTGTTTCTATTCACTGAACATGTGTTTCAATGATTAATGAAAAGACAAATGCATTTAATATTTAAATAAGTTTAGGAATAATCACAAAAATGTGAGAAATAGAAAAATTAGTTAAAATATTTCGCATTTACTAAAGATATGTATTTTTGGCAATAATACACACTATGTGTTGAGTGAATCCAATTCACATACTGATATGACTTGAGGCTAATAATGAGTAAGACTTCAAATTAAAATCTTTGGCACAAAATATTCTCATTGAAAACTTGTCTCATTATGTCATAAAAGATGTAATATTTGTATTCAACGAATCGGTGATTAAAATTAAGAGATCGTGAGTTAAGTAAACTAATAAAAAATTGTTTTATTGGTTTTCAGTGTTTTGAGTTCAAGATTTAAATCTCAGCACTTTCTCGAAATATATTTTTATAAGACTTCATAAACTTTTTCAATAAGTGTTTTATAGACTTAAGATGAAGTCACTTTTAAATAACTTATAATACGGTTGTAACATTGCTATAAACTAAACTAAAATATTACATTAAATGTAATGACTCATAAACCCTCGTTTTCAATAGATTTGACGTTCAGTTGACCTTTTTATAGTGTTTTCTATACTTTTTATATCATTTCTTAGGGAATTGCATTCAATTTAAGGCAAATATTTAATATCGTATTTAATTGGAAAATTTTCCAAATATTTACTTTATTTACCAATAAATTAATATCTGTAACTTAAAAGTTGTGTTATAATTAATAAAGAATACAGTATAGCACAAATTCAATATTGATTTGAATTAAATATAATATAAGTTAATAGTTACAGCATTATACAGACATTAAGAAACAGTTTAATGTTTATTATGGGATTCTTTACTAAATAATTACTTATTTGTCACATAATTGTCTGAAAATGTAAATTAGATGTATGATTTTCAATGTAACAAATCATTTTAAATAAAAAATATATCTCAACTCCCATCTAACTTGTAAGCAATATTATTCAAAATATA